AAAACAGTATATTTTAAAATGAAATGGAGATCTTTTTTAAAGGTTAAAACCTCATTCAATTTTATTTCTTATAGGGTTTATACTGAGTTCAATATTGTATAACTGTATTAATTCAACTGTGAACCTAAAAATTTTATACCACTTTTGAAAGAGATGTATCTTTGCTCTAGAAATGGTTATTGAATATGTTAAAGCTATAATGAAATGCTTCTTCTAATCATGTGGTTATTAAATAAAAAAAAATCTTCCCTCAAAGAGAACAAAGTTGAAAGAATGACACTACCTGGTAGCACTTCCTAAAAACTACAGTAATCAACAAAGAGAAAGATTCATGGAAGAATACAGAAATAAAGTGATGGAACAGGATAGAGAACTGTTGTACTCTGAACATAATGTATGTTTTTAGTCTTGGCAGTTCATTAGAACAATTATTTGTCAACATAAAAAGCAGAGCTCTCTCCTCAAATGGAGTAAGAGATAGTTTATTCTGGAGACAAATATGAATGACCATGGCCTGGGAACATGGAATCAGATTACCCAGATAACATGCTCCAATGTGGAAACCACTACATGAAGTTTTTATAGTAACAGAACAAAGTAATAACTCAAAGCACTTTTAAAATGTATTTGTAGAAAGATCAGGAAGGCAGGCGACAGCAAAGCTGGGAAGTCTGTGTTAGCGTTTCTGCAGTGAATCAGGTGTGTTGAATCTTTAACACAGGTGCTACTTTTTTTTAAAGTGGTGATACAGGGGATGCTTCATATATTTATATAACTTCATATACTTATATAATTTCCATATATTTAAAGATAGAACTGTATTTTAATTTTTTATTTTATTTATTATTATTGTGTGCATGTATGATTGGGGGGCACATGCATGTCATGGTACGTGTGCAGAAATCAGAGGACAATATTGAGGAGTTGGTTCTCTCATTTCACTTTTATGTGGGTTCTGGGATCAAACTCATGTTATCAGGCTTACGGGGCACGTGCTTTTACACACTAAGTCATCTCACAGGCCCAAAGGCTGTCAAGTATTTCTGAGATCACAGCTTTAGTTACATTCCTCATGTTGAAATACAAAATTCTTCTTTTTTCCTAAATCAATGTTCCCAAATTTGAGTTCTCTGGCTTAATTGTTATTGTAAAGTGTTACATGTGACTAATTTATTGATTAATGGTGGCCAATAAGCCTTTTTCCTAGTCTCAGGACAATCTACAATTTCACAGCTCACACAGTCCTTGAAAACACTTTGAGACTTTGATTACTCAGTGATTCCACCAACAAGAAGCCCATTTTGTCACTCTTTCTAATGTGGACAGATGAAGAAACTGAGATTAACACTAAAGACTTAGAGAATACATTTCATAAAATTATAGCAGAAAATCCCCAAAATTTAGAGAAAGAAATAGACATTTAAACACAAGAGGCATTTAGAAGCCCAAATAAACATGGTCAGAGAAGACCTTCTTCATGATACACTGTAGTGAAAATGTCAAAAATATGAAACAAAGAAACAATATTTAAAAACTTAAGGAGAAAATAGCAGCTCACCTATAAAGGCAAACACATTAGAATAATATCAAATTTCTTATCAGGAACCCTGAAAGTCAAGAAACATTCAATGATATATTTGAAGCTCTGAAATTAAGTGCCCCAAAGATCATTGTATTCAGCACATTTCATGGAGAAATAATGACATTTCAAGACAAGTGTAAACTAAGACAGTTCAAGACTATCAAGCCAGCACTGCAGAAAGTGCTCAAAGGAATGTTATGCACAGAAGAGGAAGGACAGTCTTATTCAAGAAGAGTACAGGAGCGAATACATTTCATTAGAGCAACAGACTAATTAAAAAAGAGCTATGACGGAAACCATCGTGCCCAACACAGTAAACCAGAAAACCCCTAATACTAACAGGGGAGAAAAGAAAGAATAAACAGTAATCCAGCCAGCTATAGGGATGACCAAAAGAATTACAAGAATTAGTAAACATTTTTCAATAGTAACCTTAAATAATAATGGGCTCAACTAACCAACAGAGACACAGGTTAGCTAATTTGTTTGGAAAACTAGGTCCAATTTTCTGTTTTATCTAAGAAAAAAGTCTTCACAGTCTAATGGTTAAAAGATGGAAGACAAGGGGCTGGAGAGATGGCTCAGCGGTTAAGAAAACTGTTCTTGCAGAAGGCCTGGGTTCGAATCCTAGTGCCCACATGGCAGCTAACAACTGTCCGTAACTCCAGTTCCAGGGGATCAGATTCTTCTGACCTCTTCAGGCATTGCACAACACCGGCACACTTAACATATATGCAGGCAATACACACATACACAAAATAAAAATAATAAATAAAATATTTTAAAAATGCAGCTAGTTAACCATGTGTACAATGTTCTTGTGTTCAAGTTTACAAAATCACTAGGCTGCAACCACCCAGCTGGAGGGATGCAGCTGTAGAAGTCAAGTATTCAGGTGGAGCTCCTGGACTTTTGGAGTCTGCAGCAGTGAACAACAGGTAGGTGACTCCAGAAGTTGATTCCACCTGCTGGCTTGGGGTGCAGGGCTACCATATTCCAGAGTGATTCCCAGTTGATGAGATCTGCTCCTGGCCACCAAGGTGTGTGTGTGTGTGTGTGTGTGTGTGTGTGTGTGTGTGTGTGTGTGTTTGGGTATTCTACGGGGTATCACTCTGAGGAGCTCCA